TCGCCCCTTCCCCCCGCATCCCCCCCACCCTCATCTCTAACTAGGCTTATGATTCCTGTCCATCCTCCTCCGCCCTCGCCTAGGCTAGCGAAATCGACTTCTGCCCCTCCCTCCCATGCCGCCCGTCTAGGTACTATTGACCTCCCCTCCTCCAACCTTCTCCCTAGACCTAGGCTAAGACCCGCCCTCCCCTAGGGCTATGGACCCTGCTGCCTCTCTCCCGTCCGTCCCTCCCTAGGTCTAGGTTCTATGTATCCTCCCTCCCCTCGCCTCCGCCCCTCCCTAGCTAGGGCTATGAATTCCTGCCCTTCCGTCCCTCCGCCCTCCCCTGCGCTAATGCATTTGAGCCTGCCCTCCTCTGCCTCCGCATCCGTCTTATGCTATGTAAACGATCCTCTGCCCCTCCCCCCATGCCGTCCTCTTACCCTTAGACTAAGGAACGAACCCTGCCCCTCCCACTAGTTCTGCGACGACTAGCATGATGCCTTCCCCTGTTCCCTCCCTCCGCCCCTACCTCCTAGCTTTAGGCTATGACCCTGCCTCCTCCTGCCTCATCGCCCTCCTTAGGTCTAGGCTATGATTCCTGATCGCCTCCCCTCCCTCCCCTCCCCTTAACTAGGCTATGATCAAACTGTCTGCCTCCCTCCCTCCGCCCTGCCTAGCTAGGCTCAATGATCCTGTCCCTCCCCTCCCTCCCGCCACTCCCTAGGCATAGGCTATGATCCCTGCTTCCTCGCCTCCGCCTCCACTAGCTAGCTATGATCCTGCCCCTCCTCCCACCGCCCTCGCCCTAGGCTAGGCTATATCCTTCCCGTCCCTCCCTCCGCTCCTGCCTCTAGCTAGGCATGATCCTGTCCCTTCCCTCCCCGCCTCCCCTAGCTATGGCTACCTGCCTTCCTCCCCGCCGCCCTCCCTAACTAGGCTACTGATCTCTGTCCCTCCCTCCCTGTCCCTCCGCCTCCTCTGTAGGCTAGGCTATGATCCTGTCCCTTACCTCCGCCCCGCCCTCTTCCTAAGCTAGGCTTGATCCTGCCCTCGCTCGCCCCCGCCCTTCCTCTCAGGCTAGGAACTAAACGCCTCGTCCTCTCCCCACCATGATCCGCCCGCTAGGCTAGATCCTGCCCTTATGTCCCCTCCGCTCCGTCCTCCCTAGCTAGGAAGACTGTACCCTGCCCGCCTCCACTTCACTATCCGCCGGCGGCCTAGCTAGCAGCTTGGACACACG